AAGAGCCATATAAACAGCCTGCCCAGACAAATGAATTAAGATGACAGAGTGAAGCAGAATTTCTCTCCCCTATCCCTAATGCAATGAAAAATGTATGCCCTGTTGTTTTAACACTCCAAATTCACCACCAACCAAGCAAGAAAAGAGGAAACTATGCTATTAACTTCAAGGGGACGGGGAGACACACACACACACACACACACACAATTCTGGTACTACACACAGTGTGGTATGGCTCCTGCCCTTAACCCAATCCCAGAAGTAGTACAGACCAAGGAAGGTAAGCCAACAAAATCCTTTAGGCAATAAGACCTGCAAGGTAAGTGAGCAGACTCAGGAAAACCTCTTGTGAACAGGAGCCCAGCAGGACTCTGGCAAAGGAAGAACCAGCTGCTAAAGCCTACTGTGGTTCACAGGAACTGTGCTTAGATGGCTGAGGGAGTCAAAGCCCAAGGGAGCTGGCATGCCCACATGGTAGAGGATAGGTAATAGTATTTCAGAAGAGAAAGCAGAGGTACTAAATGAGGGCTATACTCAGCCTCACTGAGCTCATTCACTTCCCTTATCACAGACTACAGAAAAGATTGAAAGGAGAACCCAATTATTAGACTGTAGCTTGGGGGGAGGAGGACTGGTCATAAATAAGGTAGGAAAGGTAAGAAGATTCACTCTCACTATATCAGAAAGAAGTTGTGAACAGAGCTATACATATTAAGATGAAAAGAAATGCTGTGGCTACAATGGAAACATAAATAGCATGCCCCCCTGCCAAAAAAAGCATATAGAAGATAAATGAACTCAGTGTGGATGAAAGTAGAACACAAAGGACAGAGGCAGATTCTCCACAAGTATCTACATATAGTCATAGAAAAAAGTCTTAAGGATGAACTTAACAAAACAAGAAAAGCTTGGAGATGAGATACATAGATTGAGATGAACACAGATTGTAGAGATAAACAAAATAACAAAACAACAAAATACCACTAACAGATTTAATTTAAAATAGCAAGGAATTTCAAGAATTGCAAAATTTAGATAACCTGTCATTTCTTCCACTTCAGACACACTACATTTGTATAGGCAGGCAAGCATGATGATTTTGAGCTTGGCCTCTGAATCCAGATTGCCTGGATTGAAATCTCAGCCCTGCCCCATATTAATGGTGTGACCTGGGACAATTTACTTAACTTAAAGCATAAAAGGTATGGTAAAGATTAAATGAGCTGACTCACATAAAGTACTTAGAATAGGACTTGGCACAGAGTAAGAGCTCAAAATATATTAACTGTCATTATCATAAACAACTTAATCCATTAACATTAGCTGGATGCAAAAAAGCACCAAGGAATTCATCTTTAGTTGTGTAGGTGCTGTCAAAACCATTTAAGTATGTCAGGTGAGCATGTTAAAGCTATGCTCTACAATTAAAGAAAATTAAAGATAGCAAAATCTGTCCATTCATATAGAAATATTCTTTAGAGCTACCCCCTCTTTTAAGGCTGAAATAAAGACCAAAATTGGTTAATATACTAGAACAACAGTTCTCAAAGTTTGGTTTTTGAATCAGTAGCATCAGCATCACCTGGTAACTTGTGAGAAATGCAAACTCTCTTCAGTAGGTTCCACCCCAGACCTACTGAATCAGAAATTCTGAGGATGGGACCCAACAATGTGTTTTAAGATGAGCTCCAGGTGATTCTAATGTATGCTAAAGTTTGAAGATCACTGTACTAGATGGTCCTCTGATATATACCTCAAATTTAAGAAATACACAGAGATAAATGATTACAAATAACTGTGGGCTAGAAGACTATTCTGTTAAGTGACAGCTGGTATAAGTATATAACCAACATTTTCAAAATATGCATAAATTATATACACAAGCAACCCCAAGCTTATAATGAGTTGTTAAAGACATTTAATTATATTATTTGGAACTAAAGTCAAACTCCTCCTTTAGAAACTATCTTACATACCCTAGTTAAATTCCTAGCTAAGCAACAAAAGCCTTTTAAACCTATAAACACAGAACAAATGATCTTTTACAGTTAAATATTTTCATGGGTAAAAAATTAACCAAAATTCTAACTCAGATCGTTGGAAAGATTCACTTTTCCTACCACAACCTTAGCAATGAGAGAAGACAGATTTCTTCCCACACTGTGATCAAAATAAACATTTTCCTCTTCCTTTCTGCCCTTCTACCTCTGCAAAAATAGAGACTGGAGTTAGGGGCAGGCACCAGGCACAACTGTGATAGAACAGAGGTATAGGAGAGCTGTGATGGAGATGGCAGAGGGGAAGGGTGACAGCTCTAGCACCTGCGCATCTTGGTAACAATACTATGTTTGTGCATATGCTCATGCATATGTCTATGTATAGGACTTCCACAACTTGGATGTTTGGTCTCCTGCTTACAGGTTTTTAATACTTGCAGCCAAAGAAAGAATTTCAGAACGAGATCTGAACATTAAGATGTTCAGTTAAAAAGAACAGCATTAGTGGGTGAAGGTAAGATGAGAAAGAGGCTATTTACATTGTCAAAAAAAGTATCTCCCCACAAGATATATATTAGCAACAAAGGAAAAAAATATTTGTACCCTAGAGAAACCTGGTAGCGCACTACCTTAACTAAGTGATCTATGTTAACATCACCAGTAATGGGACAGATTGACTTCATATGCTTCCCAATATGAGGCACTGGGAAAGACATGACCCTTTTGTTCTTGGAACAGGCACTACTAACATGACTCATCCCTTTCAGACTATAAGAATTAAAATAATGAAACATCATTATACTTCCTTTTTATATATGTTATATAATAAATTATCTGTATAGTAATAAACTACTCAGCAGATTTTTAGTAATATGGTATCAATGTTAATTTATTGATTTTGATAACTGTAGTGGTTTTAAGACTTTATTTATTTATTTGAGAGAGTGAGTGAGAGAGAGAACAAGCAGAGGGGAGGGGCAGAGGGGGAAGCAAACTCCCTGCTGAGCAGGGAGCCCAATGCGGGACTTCATCCCAGGACCCTGGGATCATGCCCTGAGCCAAAGGCAGACGCTTAATTGACTGAGCCACCCAGGTGCCCAGCAGATTTCTTTAGAGTACCTTTACACAATGTAAATTTGTGAGCATTTAAAAAAAAAAAGAGGTATTAAAAGCCAAATCAAATACTTCAGGTGTCAAGGGATTAATATACAACAGCTGATAAATTTTCTGTATAGTCACTGTTGTCAAAAATTAAAATTAGATGCAATCACCAAACTCTGGAGAAAACCATATTTGTGCTTGTAACAATTTGCAGATACTTTTGGCAGCCTTGTTTTTACAATTGAAAATTACGTATTCTTTTCTATTTCAAGACCTTGGGTTAAGCAAAGATCTCTTAGAACACAAAGAGGAAACCATAAAAATACTGCTAAATTGGAATTAATCAAAATTTAAAATTTTGCTTTTCAAAAGACAATTAACATAATGAAAAGGCAAATCAGAGAAATAATAACAAAAGACAACCCAATTAAAATGGGTAGAGATTTGAATAGACATTTCGATATACGATGATTACAAATGGCAAATAAGAACATGAAAAGATGCTCAACATCACCGATCATCAGGGAAACATAAATTAAAAGCACAATAGGTACCACTACACACCCACTAGAATGACTAAAATTTAAGAGTGACAATAACAAGTACTGATGAAGATATGGAACAACTGGAAGTCATATACAGGAATGCAAAATGGTACACACACGTTGGAACAGTTTGGCAAAAAGTTAAACATACACTTACCCATATGGCCCAGCAATCCCATTCCTGGGGAAACAAAAACATATTCCCCCCCCAAAAAAAGACTTGTACAGGAATATTCATAGCAGCTTTATTTATAATAGCCCCCAACTAGAAACAACCCCAATGCCCATCAACTGGAGAATGTATAAACTCTGGTATGTCTGTCTAATATTGCTCAGCAATAAAGGAACTACTGACACGTGCAACAACTTGGATGAATCTCAAAAGCATTACACGAGAGAAACCAGACAAAAAAGAGTACATTCTATGCAATTCCATTTATATGAAGTTCTAGAAAAATCAAAACTATAGTGACAAAAAGCCTATCAGTGGTTGCCAGGAACCAGCAACGAAGGGACAGAATTAAAGGCAAAGGGGCAAGAGGGAACTTTCTGGGGTGATGAAAATATTCTCTATCATGATTGTGGTGGTGAACACACAACTGTATACCTTTGTCAAAACTCATCAAATTGTAAACTTCAAATTGGTGAAGTTTACTGTATGTAAATTATAACTCAAAGCCAATTTTAAAATTTAGTTAATAGCATAAAGGGTTACCCTTAGGGTATTAACTAGAAGGGAGTACAAGGGAACTCTGGGGTAGTGTTCTATTTTTTGATCAGGGCAGGGGATACATGGGTGTTTGGTTTGGAAAAAGTCACTGAGGTGTACAATTATGATTTGTTACTTTCTGTACATTTTATTTCAATAAAAAGTTTACTAGCAAAGAATGCATCCTCAACAGTCTGACTTCATACAAATAATCACAATGATTCAAAATTGCAGTCAAGAAAATAACGGAGTAGAAGAAAAGTAAGGGGGAAAGTAAGCTGAGTTGACCACTAAAATTATAAAGGGATTCAAAAAGCAACCACTTGTCCAAAGTACATTTTCCTATGCGGGGGACTTGACTAATTTTCTACGTGTGTGTGTGTGTGTGTGTGTGTCACGCGCACACACGCATATATGTGGTTAGGACACAATGGACTTGTGTGTGTGTGTGTGTGTGTCACATGCACACACGCATATATGTGGTTAGGACACAATGGACTTTCCCCAAACCTTACTCAACATAACCTTTTCTTAAATTAAGTTCACTTTTCTTTTTATTTCTAGAGATATGCATAAGACAAATATACATAGAACATTTTCATTCCAAAATTTAGTTTCCTGCTTAGAAGGAAAAAAAATCTTACTAACCTCTTTCATAAATGATTTGCCTATGCGCACCACTTTTGCAAATAAAATGGGATCATGCGAAAGGTGAGGACCAAGGTAACAGAACATATTGAAGACATCTCTCCTCAAATCTTCAAAGCTCTCTGCTTGTTTTGGTGCCCTCTTATTTTGCAAAGCATTAACAGGTGAACCTTTAGCACCTTTAGGAACGCCAACTCTATAAAAAGAAGCAAAATTTATATGTATACTATACAATACCCCATTTTAAGTTAACACAGTCATATTAATCAGTAAGTAAAGCTTTTCTTGCTCAAATTTGATTTCTATATTTCACTTGTGCCTAACTTTATTAATTAATACCAGATAATTTAGCCGGTAGAAAAAGACAAAAACAATACTCATTTGGAAAAAATCAGAGTTCAGAGAATGTTTCAAATTAATTGCATAAGGAAATCAGAGAAATGCATGTTTCAAGTAACATTTAACATACATTGTATGAATTTGGTTTTAGTTAAACTTGGCCAGTATCAGGAATTTGGATATGGGAATGGGGAACAAGGGATGGACCTCAGAGACACTTGAAGATGAAACAGAAAAATATGGATAACAACAGAGATTCAAGTCAATAAACACTTCTCAATGTGGGTTCCACTACCTAGACTGAGTATGAGGTAGGTGGTGGTAGGGAAGGTGAGCAGCATAATGAAAGAGGGTGTCACACTAAAAAGGACAGCATGCCCAGAGTTCTCACCTGCTGAGCAGGTGTCCCGCTGTGGAGTCACAGGGGTCACTCTTTGAGAAGAAGCCTTCATGGTCCACAGCCCAGGTGGCACTAAAGGCAGCAGCCAGCAGCTATGCACGAGTCACAAGGCTGGGGCTTTTGAGGCAGGCTCTGATCTGTGGGGCTGAAGCCAGAGCTGCTGCCAATACTGCTCCTAAGTATCCTGCAAGTAGGCTGAGGGCTAGAGGACTGGTCGACACAGTAACTAGGGGTGATGAGAAAGGCTGCACTAGCAATTTTCAGAACAGCAGCCTATATGCCAGAAGAGATAAGGCAAGCAGAGAGGCAATGTCCTCACTCAGAGCCACTCAACCCGGGACAGAGGAAATTTACACTAAGTAAAAACCTCAGGAATTCTCTGCCCCCCACCGAGAGAGGAGGAAAAGTCAAAAACAGAAGAATGGAGTTTTCACTCTGTGGAGCAAACCCAACCTAGGTGTCTAACCTACCGTTTTCCAACTACACTGCAGCACACCTTCTGCATCACCTGGTCTAGACGTTAGGAGACAAGCCACTGATTAATACATATAAAACTGATACACTCTGTGAATAGTTCTTATCTTCTAATAAAACATACTAAAATATTTGCTTGGTTGGAGAAGACAAGATAAATATGTACATTTTTTACTGTAGTCCTAAGCTATTTCTACCTCAATGATTAGAAAAGCATACTGTAACATACCTTCGGTAGAGAGGCTCAATAGTTATGTGAATGAGCTTGCAAATTGCAAGGGCTATTAGCTTATGTGAAGCTGCATAGTATGGAGGCATCTGATCCATAATGTTCTGCGCATGCTGCCAATCACCAATCTTTAACAAGGCTTCCAACAAACCAAGTTTTTGGTTGTCAGGTGGCTAAAAATGAACAATTACAGCAAAGATACTCAGAATACAGACACCAATAAATCTCAATGTTTTTTCATTTTAAAAAAATTGAGCTCAATAACCATAATAATGTATGTCAACAGCTGCCACTCATGGGAAACGCAATGACATTTCCCTGAAGGTACAATCAAGTTTTTTAGCTACTGAAAAAAACAACAGGATATGCCCTTTCATTTAGCAGACACAGCATGACAGTTTATAGACCTGGAATTAAATTAAGTTCTATTTAATGTCTTACTGTGCCAAAGGGAACTAGAATTCATTCATCTTTGAGAATCCCCTTAGGACTTGAGAGACATTAATACACAGAGCACATATATACTTCACTTAGGATACATTTTGAAATTTATGTAAGAAAAAACACGGCAGCCTCTTTTGGGAAGGTGCCAATCAGATTAAAAACAAAACCACCTTTGCAAATCGGTATTCCAAAAACCAGATTTCACCATAATCAAAATTAATAAGTTATTCTCCCATAAGTTGATTAACTATTACAAGTTATATTTCCTAATTCTAAATCCAGAAGACAATGTTAATTTTACAAAAAGGAACCATATATATACCTTCTCTACTTTCTCCTCTTCTTTTTCCTTTTCTTTCTCTCGTTCATCAATTTTTTCAGAAGACAATACAACCATCGTAAGTTTTCTAACAATTTGCTTAGCTTCCACAATTTCTCGTTTGTGTTCATCCATAATGCAATTATCAGCTGGAAGAAGCTAAAAATGGTTCATTAAAGTTTCATAAAACAGCTAATACTATTTGCACATATAAAAAGCAAACACTATCTACTCTGAATTGATAAAATTGTAAATAAGGTCTAGCCTATTAACGACCATGATTTGCCTTCAAAATAAGTTTCTCTCCATTATTTTCTTATAATCTAACAGGGTTAAGTATCTGAAATTTGTACACCTTTTAAAATCAGGTAGCAGTTCAAAGTTCCATGTCTTCTTTCTGTTAGAGGTCCTACATTAATACAATACTAGAACAGTGATGCTTACCATTGTATTAATTACCCAAGAAAATGTATAACTGTTCCATTAAAAATATCACAGATTTCCCCTTTAAAGGTCAAACTCCAAATTAAATAAAGTACTGCATATGGATCCAATTTGGGAGACATGAGCTACTGAATTACATGAAGGGGTAAATTTAATTCCTCTAGATGAAAAATCTCAAGTAGAAAAATTATGAGCAACTTGACATCTCACTTTTCATTTTCTAATACCTATTTGATGACTTAAGTCACAAACTAGTTTCTAGCTTATTACAAAAGAGAAAGTAATATGTGTATAGTCAACCCTCCATTATGAAAAAGGACCAAATATCTCCAGTACAGCCATCTTGTATGAGTGGAAGAAGGTTAATGTAGATATTTCATAAAATAAATTAAAAAAACCCAGACACAAGGAAAAATATAGCCAACAAACCATAGTAGTTTCTGCTAGGCACTATGGTAGGCTATGAAAGAAGTGTTCCTGCCCCCAGAAATACATAGTCTACTTCAGTAACTAAGTCTAATGCAAAGTAAATAATCACTAAACAATAAAATGAAACATAGTAAAATATTAAACTACATATTGTACACTTCATCCCATTAGTCAAAAATGGGGGCAGGAGAAAAGTCACTAGGGACTGATGGCAAGGAGTAAGCAAGACTTTTTCTCATTCTTCCTGCTCTCCACTGGCCAGAGAACCCATTTTTATTGCTTTACTTATGTACCTGCCAAAGGTCCTCATCTTTTACCTAGATTAATGCAACTGCCTCTAAAAAATCTCCCATTATAATGAATAAACTATAAGTTTCTTCTTTTTTTTATTATTTTAAGTAATCTCTTCACCCAACGTGGGACTCAAACGCACATCCTGGAGATCAAGAGTCGCACACTCTACCAACTGAGCCAGCCAGGCACCCCTGTAAGTTTCTTTTATAGTTCCTCTCAATTCTAGTTTTGTGTATTTTGAGAATATGTAATTAGGTGCATATAAAGTTACAAATGTTTTATCTTCCTGTGAACACAACTTTATTTACTATGAAGTGACTATCATTTTTTGCCAAAAAAGTCCATTTTGTCTAACAATAATAATTTCCCTGGTATATTTTTCCCACCCTTTTACTTTCAACCTTCCTTTGTCCTTAGGTTTTGGAAGTCTCATGTGAAAAATAAACAATAAACTGGTTTTTAATCCCACCTGAAAATCTTTGACAACTTAACAGGAACACTTAGGCCGCTTGCATTTATTGTTAAACATTTCAGTAATAAATCTATCATCATCTATCATCTTTCCATTTGTCCTACCAGTCTATACTTACCTATAAACTCATACCTGTCTTTGAATTCCCCTTTTTCTGACCAATTTTCCATGTTCTCAGTTTGTAACATCACTTTTCTACTTTAAATCTTGAATGGCTCTCTACTCCCAACAAGAAAAAATTAAAACTCCTTACTATGGCACTTAAGGCCCTGCAATGTTTAGCCCCAATCTACTTCTCCATCTTCATCACCCCACATACTAGCCTAGGCTCCAACCACTCTGAGCTTCTTGATGTTCCCCTAAGGCGATAATGAAGCCCCTTCAATCCTCTTGCCTTTATACTCAGTTAATTCTACCTACAAAACTTCCCACCTTTAAAGCCAGGCCATTACCATCTCATCTACCAACATCTCAGTTCAACATCACTAGTTTGAAAAAGTCTTCCAAAATCCCCCCCAGACAGACATGGTCACTATCTAAGATATTCTGAGTCCCTACAGCACTTTGTGAATACCTCCAATAGAGTAGTTACTATATAATGCAAAAATGTTTTCTCCGTTGCTAAACTATGGCTGCTTCCAAGGTAGAGACTAAGTTTTATTCAACTCTGTAACCATAGTACATGAGAGAAAAAGTGATTTCAAAGACAATGAAGATGGTATCAGCTTTGGACAGGTTTGTTTTAAGTCCATAGATGTCCAAATGTACAACCAAATAAAACAGGAATTTCTATACTACAAACCTAGTTTTTTCAAACTGACAGGCTAAACTGTTGCTAAACTGGAGGTCATCAATCACAATCACATATACACTCTTCTAGATCCTGGATCCAACAATAAAAGCACAATACTAGTCATTTACTACCCAGTAAAAACACAAGAAAAGCCTTTAAAAAATATACAGACTTGCCCCATTCATCTTGAATGCCTAAAATTAACATTTTGGGGAGAAGGAAAAAGTATCTAGGTAAGCCCATATTTCTGATAATTTGCATATAAGAGAAGTCTAAAACCACATTGGTTAGAACTTGGCCTCTCTCCCCATGAGATATACCTTGCTGACAATTAAAAACTTTAACTTCGGGGCGCCTGGGTGGCTCAGTTGGTTAAGCGACTGCCTTCGGCTCAGGTCATGATCCTGGAGTCCTGGGATCGAGTCCCACATCGGGCTCCCTGCTCGGCGGGGAGTCTGCTTCTCCCTCTAACCCTCCTCCCTCTCATGCTCTCTGTCTCTCATTCTCTCTCTTGCAAATAAATAAAATCTTAAAAAAAAAAAAAAAAAACTTTAACTTCATATCCAACCTCAAACTCTGTAAGAGTGACAGAGGGTATTTAACTTCCATAGTTTGTCAAAGAATTAAATTCATTTACTTCATAAAGTAAACACAAAGCAATAATGCATTAGGGCTTCAAAAATTAAAACTTGAGAGCCTGACCAACCTTGAAGTGCTATATGGCTGCCTACTCCTCTTCCCACCCCTGGGATGCACAACCAAATATTCTTAGCAGCCCACTTGACTTACATGTACATAAAGATCATCTAAATCAATAAGATTAAACTGTAGAAGTACTGCTGCAACTCTGTATAAAGATGAAGGAGTCTCTCCATTTGGTTCCTTGAAAAACAAAAAAAAGTTTCTATTTAGTGCATAAGGTAAAACTAAAATCATATCCTTTACCTACCAATAATCAAGAACAATTACATCAAATAACTAGATCAACAATAAGCTTCATTGCTCTTCCTGATTATACATGACATCTGAACTGAGGACAAAGATAATTAGGTCAACATCCCTTTTCACACTGGAACATTTTCTGATGAACACAAAGGTTTCAAAAATGGACACATTTTACAGTGCATGCTAATATTTCAACAAAATCTGAAAATCAAATAGAATAAGTGAGATTTTATACTGCATAATACTTAGTTTTGGGTTTTATTTGTATGTGTGTTTTCTTAACTTGCTTTTTCAAGTAGTTCTCGATGGAGATGCAGACAGACAAGAGTGACAAATTTGGAAGTGCTAAACTATCTGTGTCTACTTTATACTTTTCTCCCTATTCTTTTACTTCTTGGGTTTTGTGCTAAATATATCTGCTTGTCAACTGATTTCCCCCTTCAAAACGGGTGTCTATACATATTACACATGGATAAATCAACATTTTAAAATACAGAATGGCCAATTCCAGTGAACCCTTCACAGAAACAGAAGGATCTTTGAATCAAGACTTTTCCTCTAATTTTTAAACTGCTTGGGATCAGCTGAATGGAAGACTGAAGTCATGACAACTGGCAATTACTAAATGGCCAAATGCAAATAAAAAGCAAACAGTGACAATACATTATGTTCCACTCCTACTCAACACTGGAAACAAGATCTTTGTAAGGTTCCCCACAATTGTAATAGGTGTTATGGATATAACACAGGAAGCTAACCAAACTAATGGATATCCTATAAAGAAGGCATTGTTCACTGTATTTCTTAAGACAGGTTAAGTCGGGCGCCTGGGTGGCTCAGTTGGTTGAGCGACTGCCTTCGGGTCAGGTCATGATCCTGGAGTCCCAGGATCGAGTCCGGCATCGGGCTCCCTGCTCAGCAGGGAGTCTGCTTCTCCCTCTGACCCTCCTCCCTCTCATGCTCTCTGTCTCTCATTCTCTCTCAAATAAATAAATAAATAAATAAATAAATAAAAATTTTAAAAAATAAAATAAATAAAGACAGGTTAAGTCTTCCATTTCACAAGAGTTTAATTCTAAATGTATATAAATGGTCATTTAGTAACAAAACATTTTCCTATAAAAACAAATGGTGGTCAAGGTCTCAGAGCAAACCCACAAAAGCTTATTATCTGACTTGAATCCACCAGGCACACGCTCATTATTCCCATTATCTCTGTCACAATGAGTCCACCACAAGAAGCCCTTGACTCCCAGGCCAAACATCAACTCCCATACTCTGATCTTCATATTGCTCTGTACAATCCGTTCTGTCCTAACCCACCTTTCTGCATTCTTGAAAAAGTTCCATTGACTCCTCTGGAATTCATAATCCATCCTCAGCAAAACCCCCTATATATCCTGAACTTCTCCTCTAACTGTTCCCTTCACTTTCTTGCTCAAACAGAGCCTAAGACTCCCTAGGAACACCACTCTCACTGTAACCCAGTCAAGTGGTGGCTCTTTTCCCCAAACCCCTCACACTACTAGGCCTGGAGGTGGGGTATGAGTCATCTTTGCTTTTTATAGTTTTCAGACTATTCTCCCTCCACCCTCCCCTAAAGCCCACCCAGCTTTGAATTTCCAATCGCTCATTATCCCTCACTATTGCTGTGATCTAGTTTCATTCCATTGTGGTCAAAGAAAATATTTTGTAGGATTTCAAGGTTTTAAATTTATTGAGACATGTTTTGTGGTCAAAGATAGGGTCTATCCTGGAGAACGTCCCATGCACACTTGAGAAGAATACGTAATCTACTGTTGCTAGCTAGGTACTGTTCTATATATGTCTGTTAAGTCTAATTGGTTTATAGTGGCTGTTCAAGTCCTCTATTTCCTTTTGTCTAGTTGTTCTATCCATTAATGAGAGTGGGGTATGGAAATGTCCAACAATTATTGCAAAACTATTTCTCCTTACAATCCTGTTAATGTATGCTTTGTATATTTTGAGGCTCTATTTGGTGCAAATGTGTTTATAACTGTTTTATCTTCTTCGTGGGCTGACCCTTTTATCAATATATAATGTCCTTTGCTGTCTATTGTAAAAATTTTTGTCTTAAAGTCTATTTTGTCTGATATTAGAATAGCCACCCCAGCTCTCTCTCATGGATACTATTCGCATAGGATTTTCCACTTTGAACATATTTCTATCTTTGGATCTAAAAGTGAGTTGCTTATAGACAGCATATAGTTGAATCATGTTTTATACATTCTGCCAAACTGCCTTTTGATTACAAATTTTAATCCATTTACATTTAAAGTAATAACTGACAAGGAAGGACTTCTGCCATTTTTCTATTTGTTTTCTACAGATCATATATATATATATATATATATATATATATAGTTGTTGTTCCTCATTTCTTCCATTAGTGCCTTCTTTTGTGTTTTTTTTTTGGTACCCTTTTGATTCCCTTCTTTCCTTTTCTATTTTTTTAGTTATTTTCCTAGTGGTTACCTTGGGTATTGCAAGTGATATTTTAAACATAATAATCTAGTTTGAACTAATACCAATTTAGCTTCAACAGTATACAAAAACTCTATACCTATACACCTCAATCCCTCCCCCTTTTATATTGTTACATTGTTTGCCAATTAGATTTATAATTATTGTTTTATTACTTTGTCTTTTAAATCTTGTAAGAAAAAAGGAACTACAAACCAAAAAAATACAGTAATGTTGGCTTTTATATTTACCTATGTAGTTACCTTTACCAGTGTTCTTTATTTCTTCATACGGCTTCAAGTTATTGTCTAGTGTCCTTTCATTTCAGCCCAAAGGACTCTCTTTAGCATTTCTTGTTCTTTTAAGGTCTACTAGCGACAAATTCCCCCAACTTTTATCTTGGAATGTCATAAACTACCATTTTTGAAGGATAGTTTTACTAGATACAGAATTCTTTGACAGTTTTGTTCTTTCAGCACTTTATGCCATCCTACTGCCTTCTGAAGAGAAATCACCTGTTAATCTTATTGAGGATCTTTTGTATGCAATGGGTCACATCTGTTTTGCTTTCAAAATTCTTTGTCTTTCAACAATCTTAGTATAATGTGTCTTGGTGTGGCTCTCTTTGAGTGTATCCACTTAGTGTTTGTGGAGCTTCTTAGATGTGTAGATCCGTATCTTTCATCAAATTTGGGAAGTTTTCAACCTTTTTTTTTTTTTTCAAACATTACTTCCTGTCCCTTTCTCTCTCTCCTCTGCTTCTGGGAGTCTAATGTACATACTGATATTGGATGGTGTCCTATAGTCTCTTAGACTCTGTTCATTTTTCTTCATTCTTTTCTCTTTCTGCTCCTCATACTGGATAACCTCAATTGGCTCATCAAGTTGGCTGTTTCTTCAGCCTTCTCAAATCTGTTGTTATAACCCTCTAGAGAATTTTTCATTTCAGTTATCATACTTTTTGACTCCAGAATGTTTGGTTCCTTTGTTCATAATTTCTATTCCTTTTTTGATATTCTGCCTGGTCTCCTTTAGCTCTTTGCCCATGGTTTCCTATATAGATCATAAGCATATTTAGGACTGGTGATTTAAATTATCTAATAAGTCCATCACCTAGGCTTGCTCAGGGATAGTTTCTATTTTCTTTTCTTGTGAATGAGCCATACTATGTTTCATTGCATACCTCATTATCTCTTGTTGAAAATTGGGTATTTTGAATATTATGTGGCAACTCTGAAAATCAAATTCTGCCCCATCTTTGGAGTTTGTTGATGCTTATTGTGGGTTACTGTTGTTTGCTTGTTTAGTGACATTTTTGTAAAGTCTATATTACTGTCATGTGCGGTCACTGAAATCTGTGTTCTGTCAGTGGAGTGGTTAGTTAATGTTTTGAGTTTTCTTAAAGGCCTGAAGCCAAAAAGAAAAAGAAAAAAAAGAAAAAAAACCACTCTCCCAGTCTTTGCATACTAGCTCTGTGTTTGGGCATGCTTCAACACTTGGCCAGGTCATTTACAATTCTGTCTTAAGTCTTCACCTCCTGCTTGTGCAGAGCCTGAAGGCCAGCCAGAAGAAAAAGCCTAGGATCTTCTCAGTCCTTTTCTGAGTAGGTATCCAGTTCTGGGCATAAGCATGGCCTTTTGTTCCAATTCCCTGGTACATGCTATTCCCCCGTATTATCTCCTTATCAACCTTCTTTTTTCCCAGGCTTTCAGTCTCTCTATTGCTCGTCTAACCATTGTCTCTCACTCCAAACTGCTAAAGCCAGTAGTTGTGCCGTAGATTCCTTTTGGCAAAAGCCACCCCAGCTCTGGAGATGCTCCTAATCAGGCAAAACAAAAACAGGCCCTTGCACAAGTCCTTCAGGGAACAGAGAGATCGCAACCCACAATTCTTTATGTCCTCTGGCATTAGCAATCTACACTAGGAGTGCAGACTTCTATCTTCAGGGCCATCATCGATCTGGGTGTGAGGCAATTTATAACATCACAGTGCTCTCTTCCCCAAAGCAGCAGCTTCTTTCTTCACCCAGTCTTTCCTTGACTATTGTAAGTTTTTTACTAAATTCCAGAATTCTGTAAAAGTTGATTGACAGTTTTTGCCAGTTCATTAGTTGCTTTTATGGAGGGACAGAGCTCTGGAGTTCCCTACTCTGCCATTTTCACTCATGTCCTACTGTTGCCACCTATGGACTCCTGGGTCACTGCCCTTCATTTAGCAATGATCTTATAGCTTCTGATTCACTGTCATTCCATCCAACTCTATCCTTTTTTAATTGTTGGAGATTTTCATATATATGTAAGTGATACTTCCATCATGCTGACCTCTTGGCTCCTGGAACTCCTCTCTTCCAAAGATCTTCTCCTCTACCCCATCTGAGCCATTCACTCCATATCCTAAACTTTAATATTACCAATACCTACAACCCCTCCAAAATGTCGATTTCACATATCTAC